TGTGAAAAGAGATGATGGAGAAGCTCAATACCATGAGTAAGAACCCGGCCAGGAGCTGACTGTGGAACAGACATCAACTGCTCACATGCAAGTTCAAGGTGAAGCTGATGAACTTTAAAATAGATCCGTGGGAGCCAAAATACGACCTTGCGTATATCCCCCCAAATTTAGAGACCATCTGCATGATAGTTCTGATGCACTGAAAACCTGCAACCAGATACCAGACAAGCTGTAGGATGACATCAAGGACACCACACATGAAGAAAGGAAAAGGTCACTGAAAAGAGAGAAGACCAAAATGGATGTCAGGAGAGACTCTGAAAGTAACTCTTGAATGGAGGGTAGCTACAAAATGGAAGAAATGCTGAAGTCTAAGAGCTGAACAGATGATTTCAAAGGGCAGCTCAAGGGCAGAAAGTATTATAAATGAAGTGTGAAGAGACCTGGAAATGGAAAATCAAAGGGGAAGAAAATGCTCAACATTTCAGCCTTCAGTATGGATCACACCTCAACATAAAGAAATGAAACCCTCCCAGACCGACAGGCAACATCAGGATAAATGCAGAAAAGAATGAAGTCGTCAAGCAAAATTTCATTTGACTCGGATCCACAATCAATACCCACAGAAGCAGCAGTCAAGAAATCAAAGGACACACTGCACTGGGCCCATCTGCTGCGAAAGACCTCTTTAAAGTGCTGAAGAGCAAAGATGTCACTTTGAAGACTAAGATGTGCCTGACCCAAACCATGGGTCAATCTGTATGCTAAGCAAATAATCCAAGAAGCTGGACTGTAGGAAGAGGAATGTGGCATCAGGATTGGAGGAAGGCTCATTAACAACCTGACATATGCAGATGACACAACTTTGCTTGTTGAAAGTGAAGATGACTGGAAGCACTTAGTATGGATTATATCTCAACATAAAGAAAATTAAAATCCTCACAACTGGACTAATAAGCAGCATCACGACAAATGGCAGAAAGACTGAAGTTGTTAAAGATTTCATATTACTTGGTTCCACAATCAACATCCATGGAAACAGAAATCAGATGTTGTACTGCACTGGACAAATCTGCAAAAGACCTCCTAAAGTGCTGGACGGGAAAGCTGTCTCTTTGAAGACTAAGTGCCCCAACCATGGTATTTCCAATTGCCCCATATGCATGTGCAAGCCAGACAAAGGATAAGGAAGACCAAAGAAGAGCTGATGCTATTGAGTTGTGGTGTTGGTGAAGAATGCTAAAAGTACCATGGACTGTCAGAAGAATGAACAGATCTGTCCTGGAGGAAGTGCAGCCAGAATGCTCTTTAGACGTGAGAATGGCCAGACTTCATCTCACCTACTTTGGTCATGTTGTCAGAAGGGACCACTCCCTGGAGAAGGATGTCATGCTTGGTAAGGTGGAGAGTCAATGAAAGAAGGGAAGGCCCTCAACGAGATGGACTGACACAGTGGCTGCAGCGATGGGCTCAGGTATAGCAAGGAGCATGGAGCTGGTGTAGGACTGGGCAGTGTTTCATTCTGTTGTATATGGGGTTGCTGTGAGTCAGAGACAGCCTGATGGCACCAAACGACAACAACGTGAAGATGGTTAGACCCTTCAGTCAAGTCCTCACTACACATGTCAAACATAATGTGTCCGTGAAGCTCTCATATGTCAGCTTCTCATACTTCACTTAGGTCCCTGAAAATTCTCTAAAAGTGAATTTCAAAGTTAAAAGCATACTTTTGTGCTGAGTCAAGGGTTAGTGAAAAGAAATTCTTTCTGAGAAACATATTTTGACTCTTAAATCCATACTCTTAAATACCACAAACGTAAGGTGTGTCCACACTGCTCCCTCCCCAGGGAAGTCACAAGGTCTCACAGCGGCACACCAGGTATGTGTCCTGAAGGTCACCTGGCCTCAGGCTCATGCCCCTGGTGACTGAGATCACCCTGAATGGTCAGACGAAATCCCCCAAGTGACTCGGGACTCAAGCCATGTATCATCCCACATGGAACTACAAAGCATGGAGAGCAATTTAGCCATGAGCCACAAGAGCTGCCGGTTCAAGGCTGACAGCATCCATACAGACACAGCCACTGCAGAGACCCCCAACAACCAACTACCTCACGCCTCAAATCAGCACAAGATCGAACCAAAGCCTGGCCTCACACCTGGCCACTCAAGCAGCCTTCTGAGAAATGCAAACGCATTTAAAAACCAGAGTCTAACATTCCAGTCAGACCACACCGGTTTTAATCCTCCACGAACTGCAAGCATGCGGGGTGGGGTGGGAGGACAAGCCTTGCTGTTCACATCGTAATGGGATGAGGATGTGAGATCCCACATGAGCAAGCCCTCTCCCAGAGCAGCTCTGGGACAGAGACCCGGCCCTCACGCTCAGTGCCCATCAGCGTTTGGCGGTCACCTGGGTTACCTCAACATTTTACAGCAGCACTAATGACAACGCTGGAGTTCCATGTTGCCATTGAGCAGTTTGCACATTTACAAGAACCCAGTGTCCCTGCCGTCCTGATGGCCTAACAGTTATTTTCACCTGACCGGCAGCATGTCAGTCCAGTCACTATGGTTCTGGAGCAGAGACCCGAAGTGCAGAGGACTTCACAACAGAGCACACAACGCTGCGGACCAGCCGGCAGGTCTTGGCGCTGAAGATGACAGTGCCTTGGGCCGGGGCCCTGGGGGTCCAGAATAAGGCTGGAGGCCACTGTCCTCGTGACCAGGCCCCAGGCCAGTACTGGACTCTTGGGACACCACTGAGAGCCATGTGGCTTTCCCTGCTCAATCCATCAAAGCAGCTGTGTCAAGTGCTGTCCTTTGTCCTCAAAGCTCTGCCTTGCCACCCAGCATCTACCATCTCTCCTCCATCCTGTTCCAAGTTCACAGCCCCTGAACTTGAACACACTGCCTGCACTTTGTTGCAGAAGTGGGTTTTATTTCACTCTCAATTTGTCAGTTCACTGGGTGTTGTTTCCAAGGACCTAGTTCATCTGCTTCATCTGGTTTTGGGCACAGTCACCCCATAAACCTCCCGTGCCACACAAAGACCTGATTCCCCTCGGCCCAGGGTAGCACAGTGCCTGCGCGCCCCTGCTGAGACGGTCCTCTCTGCCCGGGGTGACACAGTGCCCGTGTGCCTATGCTGAGATGGCTGCAATCACAATGACTTATTTTCAGTTTTGAGACTTAAATCAGAATTAACATCTAGTAAACAAACTCCGCAATCCGGAGTCTGAGACAGGTGTGCAGACCCTCTGGAAGGGGAGACAGGGCGACATAACCAACGAGGCACTGTTGTGACCTCAGGGACAGCCCATGGGAATGTGGTTGTTAAGTTTGTGTGTCAGCTTGGCTGGGCCTGGTTGAGTAACTGGGCAGCTGGATGTAGTATTCCCCATGATGAGACTGGTAATCAACTCCATGCTGGAATCTACTGTGATCAGCTGAGTAGCTACCTTAGAAATGTGGTCTGCTTCCCATATATAAAAAATAGCTTTGGGAATAGTCTCTAGCTCATGGCACACTTGAACCCTGCATGCAGCTGTGTCACTGTTCAGCAGCCTGCCATGCTCTGCTGACCTTGGCACTTTCAATGGACTTGAATTAATGGCCTGCCCTGTGGTTTGGTAACATTGGGACTGTGCCATTTTATTTGTCGACCTTGGGCTTGTTAGCCTCAGCAGCCAGTAGCTGCCTGACTGAAGAGATGCTGCTATCTTCAGTGGGCTGGGAACAAGAGGCAGAGCTAAAGCCCAAGGCTGAGGGGCTTTCACATAGCCCCTAGAGCCTGGCACTTTGAACTTGGACTTAAAACCTTCCAAATTATAAAAGAATAAATTCCTGTTTCTTCAAGCCATCCCATTTGTGCTATATTCTTGTCAGAGCAGCACTTAGTAACCACAACAGGAAGACACTGCATTTCCTTTCACCTCAGACACTTGGTCTTTGCCCTTTGTTCCTGAGGGAACCCTAAGCCCTTGGCATTTCCTGAGCAACCACATTATCCAGACCACCCCAGAGGACATGTACAGACGACCCCCTGGCCTGGCCTGGCCTGACTGCAGCTGGCCTGGGGTGGGGATGGGGGCTGCACCAATCCGTCACAACTGTGAAGCCAGTAAAAGCACTAAGCTCCCTGACAGGTGAGATACATCGAGGCATGTGAGATGGGACAGGGACACCCTGTGCCAGGAACCTCCCAGACCTCGCCACGGCACCCCTATTCCGACCCTCTTCCACTGTCATAAAGCCACATCGTAAGCCGGGTGCTTCCCAGGAGCTCTGTGAGTGGCCCAGCGAATCCTCAGCCCAAAGGAGTGGGCGCCAGCATGTCAGGAGTCGGGGGCCCAGGGGCCCAAAGCAGGCGGCTGGCATTCAGAAGGGTTAGAGAGAACCCAGAATGTGTAGCCACCAGGTCAGAAGCAAGGGCACCTCACTCTGGGCGGCTAGAGGCAGAAAGCGAAGTGCTGCCTGTCGTGGCTGGTGTCACAACTGAGCAGGGAAGTCAAACGTGGCAATCTGCTACATCCTCCCAGCTTGCTGATGTGACTTGTCAGCACCGTGACTTTATAGCTGTTGTCCCATTCAGCCCTCACAAGAGGCACAGGAAGTAGGTCCTGTCACCCTCATTTCACAGATGAGAAGACTGAAGCCCAGGGATGCTAAGGAACTAACCTAAAGCCATGAGGCTAATTCGCACAGAAGCTAGGATTCAGACTGAACCCCTTGGGCAGCCAAGCCCAACTCCTGTACCCACTGCATCTCCAAGCTCATCTCCTAACTGACATGGTCCAAAGCGGACTGGGAAACCATGTGCAAGTTCTTTCCAAGTTTCCTAAGTGCTTCAAGTCCCCCAGAAAGTACAGCCGAAGAAAGGCCTCAGGTTCATCTTTCAGAAGGTCACAGCTGGTTACCAGCTACCACACACACTCCAGGTACAACCAGGGCACGGCAGACGCAGGGCCGTGAGATGGGGACAATAAAAAGCAGCTTACTTTTTTTGAAGTTTACGATTTTTTTCCGCCTGTCCTCCCAATTTGCTAAGCGCCAAGGCATCTGGAGATGAGTTATCTGCCTCTGAAACACCGGCTGTGAGGAAGAAGAGCAGCCCAAAAACCAAGAGTCAATCAACAGGGCGGTGCTGGGCGTCAACAACAGTAGAGAAGCTGAGCAGAGCCCCTGGGCGGCGTCCCTGGGCAGCAGTCCCGGCTGACCCCTGGGTTGTTAACCTAAAGGCTGAGATTTGCATCCACTCAGAGGTCCTCAGAAGAAAGGCCTGGTGGTCTGCTTCCAAAAAATCAGCCACTGGACTCAGTGGAGCTACAACAACGACCAGGAAATAAAGGAAGAGTGGCTGCCAAGGCTGCTTAGCACAACCTAACACCTCCTGGGACGTGCTTCCTCGCTGTGGCGATCTAGGGTCACGGTTTTATGAGACATTCCAGTTAACTGGCCTAATAACATGCTTCCTAGCTCATTAACTAGGAGCTCTGGCAGCGTAGTGCCTAAGGCACCTGACTTGCTCACCAGAAGGCTGGCGGTTCAAACCCACCAGCCACTCCTCAGAAGGAAGGTTGGGCAATCTACTTCCGTAGCGATACTGCCTCGGAAACCCAAGGAGGGGTCGCTATGAGTCAGGTCTGACTCGATGGCACATAATAACAACAACAGCTCATTAACTAGTGCCTGGGGTCTTCAAACCTTGCCAGCAGACACCCAATGCACCAACAATTGGCCTCTGTTCCCCTGGAGCAACAGAGGAACGAGGAGAGGTAGGGTCAGGAGGAGGAGGATATGAAACGTGGGGCTAACTGCCTCCATGAACAACTGGCTTTTGCCAGGAGACAAGAACTCGATGGTGCCTGGCTACTGTTACTGAACATTTTGATCAAAGACTTCATGAAGAATTCTGATCAAGAGGGGGAAAATGCAGAACAGAATTTTAAATTCTCATGGAGTCTAGACTTTCTGGACCCACAGAGGGTGGATGAATCCCTGAAACTACTGCCCCAAGATAATTTTTAAACTTTGAACCAAAAATATCCCGTGAAGTCTTCTTAAAATCAAACAGCAGCTCAGCTTCAGTGTAAAAAGGCCCATCTTGCTATCTGTGTGGGATTAAATTGGCAGAGCAACTCAAAAGGTCAGCTAGGAACCTTAGAGGGCAGTGACTTGACGTGAGGGAGGGAAGAACAGCTCAAAACCAGAGGGTGAGGACAGAGGCTCCACTGGACGGGTATCATCACTGTCACAAAATCAAACATGTACAAACTGCTGAAGTGCTCTACGTTTTGCTGGGGGAACTTTCAACAACAAAATAAATAAATTTAAAGGAAACCCACTAAGGTGTGCAGCTCTACTGTGATGCACACGGGGCTGCCATGCATCAGAGCTGACTCCCAGCACCTGGTTTAGGGTTTAAATAGGTGGATGCGTAACCGTAAGGTCTGACTCCAATTGAGAGGCCCTATGGGACTGAGAAGAGCTGCCCCACCAGGGTTTCCTTGGCTGTAATCTTGATGAAGACATGGAAGAAGTACAGCCAGACACCCCTTAGAGACAAGTATGGTAAGACTTTGTCACACACTTAGACATGTTATCGGGGGAATGAGACATGCTTGGTCAAGGCCGTCATGATGGTAAGGCAGAGGGTCAGCAAAAAATGCGAAGACCCTTAAGCAGTGGTCTGCCACAGTGGCTGTAATGATGGGCTCAGACAGAGCAATGGCTGCGAGGACGCTGCAGGACGGGCAGTGTTCCATCGCTGCACATGGGGCCGCTGTGAGTTAGAGCCTGGCACATCTCTGCACCTTTTCCTCCCTTGGAACAGCTAATGGGTTCAAATCGCTTCCCTCCTGGTTCACAACTGAGGGCTTGACACTGCTCCACCAGGGCCCCTTTAAAGGTACAGACTTTCTGACTAGACAACCCCCACACAAAAGTATCTCAAAGGCAGACACTTTCCATCTCTCCAGGAGGCTAAATCTCTCAGGGCCAATGAACATCTACTGTGTGTCTCTGGTTCAGACACGTGTCAGCTGAGCACACTCTCTGAGCTCTGGCTTCAGAGGAAGGTTCAGCATTAGGGGCTGGAGCCCTGAGCAGACCTCCATGGGAACCGTGGTCAAACACAAAGCACCCTCTATCCCACCCCCAGGTGTCAAGACATGGACAGAAACCCAGCCAACCTTGTCCCAGGGGTTCTTTGCCCGTCTGCCCAGGTCGACCCTTCTCTTTCTTGCCAAACAGGCGGCCAATGGAGGACTTGATCCCCTTCTTCTTCGGGGCTTTGTGGAGCGAGTCCTGGCTGCTGTTGCTGCTGCTGGGGTTGCTCACGTGACCGTCCTGGGAGCCAGTTGAGCTTCAAGGAAGGAAGAGCGTTTTGTCTGCACCCGGGGGTCTCATCACAGCTCTGCACCAGTCGCACAGACATCCACCCTCACATCCCGAACGCAGGCTCTCCACACAGCACAGCAACAGCTCACATCTCTTTCACACGCACCCCCTTCATGTGATGCGCGTGCAGAAGCGACCCGACACAGCCATAGGGGGAGCTGCCCCGGGAGCCAGGCTCTGCTGCAGCAGAACCATTACTGCCCAGTGTGCGGCACCCCCCACGGGGCTCCCGGGCAGCCAGCGGAGCAGTGGGCAGAGCAAGTATAGACTGGAGACGAGGAAATCCAAGTTCTCAGCCCCCTAACTCTGCCAAGTGGCTCCCTGAGAATGACCCTCATCATCTGTGAGATGGGAACAGCATTTACTACTGGCAAGACCACAGCACATACACGACATACACGGCCTCCATCACATATGGCCTGCCCCACTACAAAAACTCAGTACGAGACGGCTACAAAAACAAGCGTCAGGAACAACAGGGCTCCCGGCTTTCCGTACAGGAAGCAGCGGGCACAGGCAGCCTGGGACATCATATCAACTGACCGTCCAACAGAGCAGCACAGAAGAGTCAGAAATACCGCATTTACTCCACCAAAGAGGGCGATTCCTCAGTCTGTAGGATCTAAAGTAATGAGGGTTTTCTACGGTTGCTGATATGGTAAAAGCGGTGAGAGCTGGAACTTGACAGGACGGCCTTGTTTCTTTGGGTCTCAGACCCGGGTCTCACAAGTTTTCTGCCTTTGACGGGGAGGTCTGACCACTTTCCTATCAACCCTCTCTGTAAGTGAAAATATCCGAGTTTGCCTTCTCTGACTGGTTTCGGCCTTACACAGGTTCCAGCTTTACATGTTTCACTGTATATTCCACTATTACCTCTCCACACCACCTGCGCCCACACGGACATCAACTGTGCCACCCACACGGACACATGGACACCAACCGTGCCGCCCACACAGACACACGGACACACAGACACCAACTATGCCACGCACACAGACACACGGACACCAACCGTGCCACCCACACAGACACACAGACACATAGACACCAACTATGCCACCCACACAGACACCACCTGTGCCACTCACAGGAACATGCGAACACCAACTGTGCCACCCATATGGACACATGGACACCAACTGTGCCACCCACACAGACACTTGGACACACAGACACCAACTATGCCACCTACAGGATCATGCAAACACCAATTGTGTCACCCACACGGACACGTGGACACCAACTGTTCCACCTACACAGACATATGGACACACAGACACCAACTGTGCCACCCAAGGAACATGTAAACACCAACTGTGCCGTAAACACCAACTGTGCCACCCACACGGATACGTGGACACCAACTGTGCCACTCACATGGACACGTGGACAACAAACTTTGTTGCCCACACAGACACACATACACCAACTGTGTCCACAGAGATGCATGCACACCAACTGTGCCCACACAAACACATGTTCACCAACTGTGCCCACAGAGACATGTGTACACCAACTGTGCCCAAAGAGACCTGCATACACCAACTGTGCCCACAGAGACATGTGGATGCAGCTGGCCACACTGCATCCCAGAGCAGTTGCATCCTAGGGACAGCTGCCCAGTCAACACACCTCTATTCACTAGTGCTACAGGAAGAGAGATGGACAAGTTTGTCGAGACTAACCACCCTACCCAGGCTGTTACCGCCTGGTGGCCAGTGGGTGAGTGGCACGTTCCTTACTTGCGTATGTCCCTGATGTCCTCGTGGCTGACTGTGTGCAAGGCTCCCTTGTGCATCCTGTCGAGCCGAAGTGACCGCGGGGAGGAGGGGGGGGACGTCTCACATTTTATTGTCGTCTTGTCATCTCGTACCTCTTCTCGGGAAGCCGGCAACTGAGGGGTTGACAGATGCATGCAATGTGTTAGCAGCAGACCGTATAAAAGCCACGGAGACCTTAAGTGAGCACCGTGAGAGTATCTGAAATGCACCAGCCATGTTTTCTGTCAGAGACAAGACGCCTGCTCTCGTCTAATGCTGCTGGAGGGTCCTGCTTACTCCTGAGGAGCACACAGGTCGCAGAGCAGTCAGGCCGGTCCAGGCCCTCCCAGGTGGCAGGCCCTCACCTCTGCCCCAGGCCTCACCCTCACAGCAGCAGGCTGTAAGCACCAGGCCTTTCGTGAGGATGAGTACTGGAGGGTCATGGAAGATCTCAACAATGCCTGGAAACCACAGCACTGCAGCAGCTCTCACTGAGTCAGACCCCAGGACAGGCAGTCTGTGTTCTCTCCTGAAGGCATCAAACGACACAGTTATGCACTGTCAAGTCGGTTCCACCTCACAGAAAGAGCTGCTCCACGGGGTTTCCAAGGCTGCCATATCTACCAGAACAGACTGCCATGCCTTTCTCCCACGGGGCAGCTGGTGGGCTCCAACCGTCGGCCTTTTGCTCAGCGCTCTGATCACTGTGCCACCAGGGCTCCTTTAAAAGAACACTAGAGAGGGTGCAAACCTCCTGGGCAAAACCACCCACACCTTTCTGTCTGGGAAGGCCGGGCCAGGGCCTGAGGCACGTCTCCTTGCAATACAGATGAGCCGGCAAGCCAAGGTCAGGAGCAGACACTATCCTCAACAAGCATCTGTCTGGTACTTCCTCAGAGTTTGGAATAGATGCCATGAACAGAAGGAAGTCCTTACTTCAGCTGAGAAGCACTCTGCTCAGGCCGGTCAGCCCAGCAGATCACTGACAGAGGCCCTCTTATCCGACTTGGGTTGTTCATTTCCGTAAAGGAACATGGGTGTGTCTAAGTGTAAGGGAGGGGGACAGCAACAAATAACCCCTTCAAGCAGCTGGGCAGGGCTTTCTGTAAGTGTGGGTTTTGGTTTCTGACCCTGGCCTTCTGTATCCACAGATTCTAATCCATGGATTCAACCAACTGCAGATGGGAAATATTTGGGGGGAACAAACAGGCAACTAAGGGGTCAAAGCAGTCCCACAAAAGCTAAGAAGGAGCGAGAGGCAGGGGTGCACAGACACTGAGGGACGACTACACATGACACTTCTGCGTGGCAACATTCCTGTGAGCTGCAGAACGTGGCCAGTGAATATCTGCCTTGTCATGGGACTTCCAATGGATTGTACAAAGAACACCAACGCTACAGGCGCTCCACAGTGGCTCGACGAGAACCAGCAGGACACTGCCCAGTGGAGACGAGTGGCAGGAAGAGGGACCCCTCCCCAAGAGCTAGGTCAGCTCTGTCCTCTCCTAAGTTCTCAATCGTAAGACAAGAAACGGCTACAAGGGCTGCGAATGAGCAACAGGAAACTGAACAGGAGTAGGTGTCAGACTGAGTTACAAAATCACTGTCGAGAATGAAAAGAGGGCAAGCCAGGGAGCGATGTCTGTGGCCAAGGTAACCACGACCCACTGGAAGCGCACAAAGCGGTGTGAGTGCAAGCCTGTCCACGTTCCTAAGCCCGGCTCACACAGCCTGCAGCCTGCCGAGTCAGTGTCAGGCCCCACCCAGCCTGCTCTGCACCTCCTCCCTGCACACCCTCCAGGAAGGTGCACCAGCGCTCACACCTCCAGACTCTGCTACATCCTGATCAGCTCCACTAGAACTGTGAGCTCCATGAGAGCAGGGAGCCGTGTGGCACACAGCAGTAACACAGAAAAAAAGAAGGGCACACGAGTCTGAGGCCAGCTGTGCCAGGCCCTCTGAACACATGCCCCACACCAGCTCTCATGCAAGGCCGTCACCAGTGAGCAGGGAGCCCCACACTAGCCCTCAAGCAAGGCCACAGGGACACAAGCACTGTGCCCAAATGCCATCTCCTTAACCAGGAGAACCCTGCTTTAAAAAACAGAAAAGAAAAACTCAGGCACTGACACTGGTCTGAGCTAGCTGACCTGCCACTAGGGCCAGCTAGCTGGGCCAAAATGACCAGCGCTGCTGGGTGGAGCCCTCAGCTCACTGGGCAGAGCCCACAGTTCACTGGGCTCCACACAGGCAGGCACAGGGCCTTCTGCTGGGTGGAGCCCTCAGCTCACTGGGTGGAGCCCTCAGCTTACTGGGCACCATGCAGGCAGGCACAGGACCACGGCCACTGCCATCATTTTCACTTAACAGGAGAGCAGACCAGGGCACAAAGGGGCTAAGTACCATCCCATGGTCATAAGGTCACTAGAGATGGGCTGAGGTCGAAGGCCAGCGGTCCACCTCTCTGTACTGCACAGCCCAGTGTGGCACACACCCAGGCTGCTGCCCAGTGGCCGTGCACAGACCAGCTGCCCCGAGATCTGGGGGCTGTCCTGTGTGGGCACAAGCTGGCCAGGGCAGAAGTGGGCACAGAAGAGGGACAGGGCACGGAGCTAATGGGGCATGGGGACTGTGGCCAATGTAAAGAACACCACTACCCAGGTCTGATCCTTTGTGCATTGTACCTCCTCCAAGAGTAGGCACCACCTGTGAGCAACGGGGCCTGGCCCCTCCGTCAAGGATGCTCAGAGCAGCTAACGCATCTGGGGCTGAGAAGCTGGAGGTGGCTTGGCCGTGCGCAGCTGAGAAAGTTGAGCCCACACCGCCCTGTGCTGCTCACTGGCATGTGACCCAGGCACACTGCACTGTGGCCCCTCAAATCTTCAATCTCCACATCTGTGCAGCGGCCATAACAACAGGGACTTTGTGAGAGAACAGCCATGTGACACTTTCAGCGCAGGGCCTGGCACACAACCAGGGCTGCATGACGACCCTGGTGATTAAATCGGCTTTTCCAAACCCAAAAGCTAAGCCTTGGCTTCGATCCCATTTCACTTTCCAGACTACATCGTTCCAAATAACATGCCATGATGAGAGAGTGGAGAAGCAGAGAAAGTCAGGCTCTTAATTTTGTCCCAGTTTGCTATGAAAACCAACAGTGATTAATTTCCCTCAGAACAAGGCATGGGCGATGTGCCGGACCAGTTGAAACACTATCATTGAAGCTGCGAGGATTATTACCACACTACAACAGTGTCTCATTCCTGCAGGACAGAATATGCACTCTTGATACATTACAGAGAAACAAAAACGTCTTACGTGACTGAATTTACCTTTCTACGGTGTTTCCTTAAATCGCTAGGCTGTTCGGTGCATGCAAAGAGAGAGAGAGAGAGCAGATTTACTGCAGACCCAAGAGCAAATGTTTAAGGGTCAGCTCAGGCAAAACCATTACAGTGAACATGGCAGGCAGACACGGGGAGGAGGGTGTGGAGGTGCAGCCAGAGATGAACCCGTTCCCATCACAAACCACGTTAAGCTAACATTAGAGAAACGTATTAGCTGCAGAGATCCCATCTGATCATATGGTTCACTGCATCATACAGGGTCCTGATGATGGCGTGCTCTGAGCCAAGACTGCTCCAGAGCTCAGGGCTCCTTAGCAAAAAACATGTCCTACTTTAAAACATCCCTAGCAACAGAGAAGTAATGCAGTATCTATCATGAAAGTAAGTAAATCGACATTTTGTTCATTACATCAGGATGTGAACGTAGCCTTCACTATAATCTGATCTACAACTTCTCAAAAATAGTATGTATTGCAGGTAAGAGGTGTGAAAACACAGAAGGACAAAATCCAGCCTGACAGCATGTGGGGCCGCTCCATCTTCAGACATACAGCTCGTGTGAGACATGTAAGTGAAAAACATTAGTCTGTGGAAACATTAGCAGTGCGCTTCTGGTGAAGTGACAACATTCACAGTCTGGAATGCAAACAACAAAACCAGCAGCGTGCTGTTTGTGTAGAGTTTCCTCAGTTCCACCGTCACTGGCTACAGCTTGGTGGAGGAAACAGTTCATCTGGAAACTACGGAGTTCCTCCATACTCTGGGTGCAGACATACTGCAAACTGCCCATGTCATACCTACATCCATGTCTAGTTGACAGCCATACACTAACTGCTGGGGAAAAAGCAGTGTTTCATGAAAAATGAAGACAAACCAGAAAGAAAAGCAAAAGCCCGCTAAACAAAGCCAAAGAATCCCCAGCTGGTGTGTGATCCCCGCACATGTGGCTACACATTACCTGGGCACGTGGTGCCAAGTCGCTACAGCATGGGGGAGGACTCAGAGGGGAGCTGAACGCACAGACTACAGGTCGTTGGGGGTCTAAACCCTGGACTGAAAATGAATCTGGAGATAGCTAACATAATGAAACAGACACAAGGATGACACAGGGAGTCGAAGCCACCACAGGGACTGTCGGCCAGCACATGGGACTGCACGCTCAAGACAAAACCCTACACAATTGCTTTACACACATGCTTGAAGGAAATGAGCAGGAAACCACTAGCAAAATGGCCAGGTTCGCAGTCTCAGCTAATTAGCAAATGATGAAAACGATGAACAGAGGCTGTCAACACACCGCAAAACAGATGGCTCCCACTTCATCTGCCACAGAAGTGACCCACGGACAATCTAACAACATGCTCTACAGCTGAAAATGGAAACGGAGGGTCACAGGAACAACTATCAGACAGCAGGGCAGCGACAGACAGCAGTGTGGCCACAGACAGCAGTGTGATCACAGACAGCAGGGCAATGACAGACGCCAGTGTGTTCACAGACAGCAGGATGGTCACAGCAGGACTGTCACAGCAGGGCGGTGACAGCCAGCAGGGCAGTCACAGACAGCAGTGTGATCACAGACAGGGCAATGACAGATGCCAGTGTGTTCACAGATAGCAGGGTGGTCACAGCAGGGCGGTGACAACCAACAGTGAGGTCACAGACAGCAGTGCAGTCACAGAGAGCAGTGTGGTCACCGACAGCAGGACGGAGGACAGCCACAGAGAACAGGATGGTCACAGCAGTGCGGTCACACACAGCAGGGCGGTCACACACAGCAGGGTGGTGACAGACAGCAGTGTGGTCACAGAACAGCATGTTGCACGAACAACGTCACATGGCAAATGGGTGAGCACAAAACTGAACGCAATGCATGGCGACACTGCCCGACACTGGCAGAGTCACGGACGTGGTCACCAGCACAGCGAGATCACCACACGCCCAGACCCCAGAGCAGACTTCTGGACTCGGGAAAAAGGCCACCTCTTTCCCCAAACGCCCCGAAGCGACCTGAGTCCATGGGTGACAGGAAAATGGGAGAAGTACACTGCCAAGTGTGCTAACAAGAGGGCCTGTGAGCTGTGCTGTCGGCCTGCACGCCTGTGCCCTCCAATGAGGCACCCTAAGGTAAAGACAGACGCCAACTTTCTTTACATGCTGTCTCTACACCACGAGGCCACCTCAGCTAGTTTTACTTTTGTTGAACTGTCTATTCCTAAAAAGCAAACTGTTGTAGGGTGGATTCTGATTCACAGCGCCCCTAGAGGACAGAGTAGAACGGCCCCAGAAGGTTCCTAGGCTGTCAGTCTTCACGGAAGCAGACTGCCTCATCTTTCTCCCACGGAGCAGCTGATGGGTTCGAACCACCGACCTTTTGGTTAGCAGCCAAGCACTTAACTACTACACCACCGTGGCGTCTTCTGCCTATTCCTAGAGAACAGAAACTGCTCCCCCTTCTGGCTGCCGACTGTGCACAAAGCTACATGAACAGGATCTGCTGATGAGTGAGCTCCGGTGGCACAGTGCCTAAGGCATCTGGCTGCTAACCAGAAGGCTCGTGGTTCAAATCCACCAGCCACTTCACAGAAGGAAGACTGGGCAATCTACTTCCATAGTGATTGTCTCAGAAACCCAGTGAGGGTCGCTGTGAGTGGGAATTGACTCAATGGCAGTGGGTGGGATAGGTCAACAGTGCCATGCTCAGGGGCCGCTCACACAGTAACGTGAATGCGCTGCACAGTGCCCTCTGTCAGGCGATCACTAGCTGGTTGTTAAAATCTCCAGCCTCTGAGGGCAATGCAAGTACCTGCTGTCCTGGGCGAACCAGCTTATCCAGCACATACAGGCCTTCGCCCGGCGTGCTGGGGGCGGGGGTGGAGCAGCAGAGGAGAGGGCCAAAGCTTACTAGAGTCATGATGCCCAGTCGGTCCACTTCCCTAGCTGGACTCTGAGGAAGCCTCCTGGGGGTGGAGCGGCCACTGCCTGGAGGAGAGGAGCCAGCCAGCGAGGAGGCCGGATACGGGGGGACGGAGCTCGTGGACCTGCAGCGACCAGGACTGTCCAGACTCCCACTTCCGACTCTGCTCTCGATCTCCTCGGCCCGCTGCTCGGCACTCTCCTTCTCCTCCTGGATCAGCCTGCGAGGAAGCACAGCAGTCAGCCAGCCCGGCTCCCGAGTGGAAGGATGACAGGCCTGTGTGGCAACCTCTGCACCCTGCCACGTACTCCACTAGACTGACATGTACAAACCATGAGCAGGTCAGCAGTAACAGCCGACTTGGCCTCTTTTCAGTCAACTGGATTTGGGAACAGGAAAGCCGCATCATGTTGGCTCTGGTAAAATCCAGGTCTGGCTGTATTACATACATACATGAAAACCCTGGTGGGGCTGCTTAGCAACTCTTTGTGAGGTTTCAACTAATAACTTCCTTATGAACAATGAGATACTTAAATTTCACATGCAACCCCTACCTCCCCGATTCTCAGAGCTAAAGCAACCAATTTCTTCAACTGGAAGTCTGGAACTTCGCTGCAACCAAAGAAGGAATCTACACAGCAGTGGGGAGCTTCCTAAAGCAAACGCTGGATTGATTTCCTTTTCGTCTTTTCAATTCAAACACCGGTATCAGCTGGTGGAAGCCCCACTAGCCCAGTCCAGTGTTCTGACTCATCTCAACCAGGCTGCCCTGTCATAGTTCACAATGACCAGTGTCCATCCTGATGTGCAGTAAACGTCACACAGCCAGGTGAGTGTGCCACCGTCACTGCTCCGCTCCAGCCTCAGGGCACCCATACACCCTTATAAGTGTTTTGTTGTTTCCAACAGGCAAAGAAAGCCGAAGTTCTGATTACAGTGATCATGATACCAGTTTGTTACCTGAGAAAATAATCACCTCCCAGCAGTGCATCGTAAGACTTAGAAACACAGAACAGAATGCGTCCACTCCTGTGCGTGATGACACTGGAGAAAGACTCCCTGCTGTAACTCTTCCCGGGGCTCACAGAGGGCCCACGAGAAGTCAGCTGATGAGGCCGGCAACGCCAATAGTCCTCCTGTGTGTGACAACACTGGGGAAAGACTCCCTGCTGTAACTCTTCCCAAGGCTCAAGGACAGCCCACGAGAAGTCAGCTGGTGAGGCCGGCAACACCAACAGCGCTCCTGCTGCTCCCTTCAGTCTCCACTCTTTATGACGTCGACTTTGTTAAACTTCTCTCGTCACCTCACATCCTCTCCAGGCAGAACGGAATGCTTCTGCCAGGGTTAGCTTTACAAGAACAAAACGTGGGCAGCAGCCCCACCGGCTGCCACATGAGCTCCCACACGCATGGGGCCCTTCCTGTGGACTCAGGACGGGCCGTGTCCCGCCGAGCACACTGAACCGATCTTCGAGTGCCCCCGCTCACACGGCAGCTCCCCAGACGAGCGAGCCAGGGGGGCAGGTGGCAGCCCGCCCTCTTACTCATTGTACAGGTCATTCTCTGGATTCCCAGCTGACAGTGGCACTGTTTCAGAAATTGCCCATGTTAACTGCTAACAGGGTTTCTAAAGAAAAGACCTAAAGTATTTCTGAGATTAAAAGGACTCAAAGGCACACCTGACAGGCAGTCTCTTTCTGACTCCACTATGGCCCCCTCTCCATCCCCACTGCAGGTCACCCCTCTGCATTCTGGATTAGGCTGCCTTGGCCGAGAGGGCCGATTCCCACGTGTCTGTCCCGACGTGTTCTCATCTCACCTGTCCTTCTAGGCTCAGCTCTCAGACTCAACGAGCCCAGCTGTCTGTGGACTCCTACTACAGTCACGAGTGTTCTGAGTGGGCGCTGAGCTCCCTGCTCCCCCACAGGGCTCTCCAGCTAGGCCCACAAGACCAGACCCAGAGGGACGGGGGCCATCACTGTGGACAGAGGGCCAGGATCACCTGAGGCTGATGAATCAAGGGTAACCTCAGACTTTAACAACAGGACTTAAACAGCATAGTTGTTAAGCAAATAACACACACATTACATGGTTTTTTGATCAGCCATACAACTCCCTCATGTGTTAAGTTGCATGTGCAGACTAAATACAAAAAATACCTAAGTTATAACTATTACGACATATTTAGAAAATGTCAATACTATCTTTTTCCAGACTTTTCTAAGAGGAATGGGATTTATGAGATAAATTATTCGTGTTCCACACGTGAGCTGTGTACAATGTGTACATGATCTTTTTGTTGTGCATTACACACGTATACCTGATCTCTTTGTTGCTCACGTCATGTGTGTGCCGTGTACAGTAACTTGCACCTGATCTCTTCATTGAGTTTGTTTCATACATGTGCTGTGTACAATAACATGTACCTGATCTGTTGGGTGCGTTTCATGTGTGCCATGTATAGTAACATGCACCCAATCTCTGTTGTGCATGTTTCACGCGTGCTGTGTACAATAACGTGTACCTGATCTCTTTGTTGTGCTCATCTGATGTTTACTGTGTACAATAACATGCACTTGATCTCCATTAACATGTTTCATACATGAGCCATGTACAGTTACGTGTATCTGATCTCTTTAAGTGTTTCACACGTGTTATGTACTGTAATGTGTACCTCATCTCCTTGTGTGTGTTTCATACATGTGTTGTGTACAATAACGTGTACCTGATCTTTTTGTTGAGAGTTTCATATGTGTGCTATGTACAGTAACATGTACACGATCTCTTTGGAGTGTTTCACACATGTGCTGTGTACAGTAATGTGTACCCGATCTCTGTTGAATGTGTTTCACACGTGTGCCATGTACAGTAACGTGTACATGATCTTTGTTGAGTGTTTCACACGTGTGTGGTATACAGTAACGTATACCTGATCTCTGTGTTTCATAATGTGCAGTGTACAGTAACGTGTACCGATTCTCCTTGCTGTGTTTCACACATGTGCCGTGTACAGTAACATATGCCCGATCTGTGTTTCACGTGTGCCGTGCACTGTAATGGGTACCTGATCTCCTTGTTGATTGCGTCCAGCTGCTCCTGAAGCATCATCGCCAGAGTCTGAGCGTCAGCCTGCCCACCGGGCGACAGCAGATCCACTGAGCTGAACAGAGTGTCCCTGTCGTCCTCTCCGTCAGACACATCCACGTCACTCTCAAACGCCTGGGCCACATTCGCCAAGACACTGGCTTGTTGGGCACGTTCCCAGTCCTGCTCATTAAGTGTTTGTACCTATAAACGAGAACGTCAGATCTTAGCAAAGATGGAAAATAATGGCGTTAGTTGTCAAAACTTAAAGGTAGCAAAAACTTTAAAAATGTTTAAATGAAAGCCCAGAAGATTTTGGAAAACTGGGTTATACTCATAAGCTAGTGACATCTGTCAAGCAGAGACCAGGAAATGGGTGGAAAAAGGCTGTCCTTCCTCAACGAGCCCTGTAATAGTAGTGTTTTCATGCGGCTAAGAGGCACCCTCACAGCACTGTTTACAATACAAGAGGACGCAGTCAGAACAGAACCCAGAAATGAAACAAACATGTCTGCTGGGCGGCACACTGTGGGGAACTGCATCATAATAGGATGGGTAACTGCTCTGAGTCCCACAGTCCTCCCTGTCCTGAGCCAGCATCAGTAAGCACCGAGAAGGCAAACACAGGCCACCACACGAAAGGAGCCAAGAGTGCCCACCGGATGCATGGCATGACCACGAGCCACCTGCTGGGCGATGTGACCACGAGTCAGTGACAAAGCTTTCTGAGGAACGCCGAGCTCCCATTGTCTTGAGAATGTCTGGCAGTGGTCCGCATGCCGGGGCTCAAATACCCTCTCCTTCAGCAGTGGTGCGCGTGTGGGGGACTGAGTCCCCTTTTTCAGGTGACTCACACTGGTCCCCTCAGAAAGCCTCCTGCCACGTCTCTCTCTCCGCTGACAACATACCCTCATTTCACTTTTCACTTAAGCGACATCAAAGCGACCAGGAGAGGATATCCCAGTGCCCCACGGCACATGTCCGCCTTTCCAGCCTGCGCCGGGACCTTCAGTCTCCCCACCTCGAGATCACCAACGGGCGCCTGTGTCCCACCCTGCACCTTTCTCAAGGGCCTCTTCTGTGAGCTGCTTCTAATGACATGGCCAATTTTCCCCTTCATACAGGGTCACTCCCATTAGTGTAAGAAAAATAACAGAATCACACAGCTTGGCCCACACATCCTTCCAGTGACCACTCCGCTTCTGATCCTGATTAACCACCTTCTCAGAGCTGCCCGCCTGCTGTCCCCATACCCTCTCCTCCATGTCTGCAGCTTGCCGCGAGCAGGCACTGCGCACCTGCCCTCCGACAGAGCCAGCCACGAAGTCCCCCACGACCATGTACCACACACGCTGACCCTTCCTCAGCCCTCCCTCCCCTGAAGCACCTGCTCCCTCAACTGAGGCCCCTGCTCATTCCTGGCTTTCCTCCCACCTCACTGGTCGCTTCTGGGTCTCTCCTTCTGAGGATCCCCAACCTCTCATCTGTGGGCCAGCAATGGTGAGAAGACAAGGGGACAGCAGGTACCACCATGGTCACCGCTCCAGCCTGTGAACACTACCCATGCACTCACAACGCCTAAGCTTTTCCACGCATCCCGGACTTCTCACTTGGGTCCCAGACC